AGACGGATCCTCAGCTAAGCAAATCCAGGGTCTCTTTGGGTGCAACACTCATAGTGACCAATGGGTGGCAGCAGGATACTGTGGTTGAATCATGACAAGGCCTGGGCCACCTAGAGCACCAAACACCTGAAATGTCATGTCCCAACAACCAAGTTCGCTCATTTTCACCATCTGAAGTGAAAGACTTTCTTCAACGCCATGCCCATGCCCCTGCTACCCAGAAGGAAGGACACTGAACTGACATTTGAATTCAAGTCCAGCTCGGCCACTTACTGGCTGCATGACCCAGGTAGTTGCCTTGTATGGAGTGGGGGGTCCTTATGAACTCACAGGGTCATTATAAGAACCCAGCAGATAAAGGAAGGACAGCATGCGGGGTCAAGAAAAGGCTTTGAGGACTGCAGGGGGCTCGAAGCCCTGGGGTAGCCAGACATTGGTGGAGCCTACACTTGCTGAGACCCCCATGAGCTCCTTACACTCCAAGCAGTCTCCTCCCCCTTTCCTCTCCCCTCCCCTCCCTATTCTGCGCCTGCACTCAGCAGCTGAAGGTGGCTGAAGAAGAAACAACACGTGACCAGCCTCACTCTAAACCAGTGGTTCTCAACCTTCCTAATGCCGCCACCCTTTAATACAGTTCCTCATGTTGTAGTGAGCCCCAATTTCATTGTTACAAATGGAACATAATTAAAGCATAGTGATGAATCACAAAAACAATATGTAATTATATATGTGTTTTCCGATGGTCTTAGGCGACCCCTGTGAAAGGGTCGTTCGACCCCCAAAGGGGTCGCGACCCACAGGTTGAGAACCGCTGCTCTAAACTGACATCCTCAAACCTGGAGTGGGTACCTGAGCTGGCAATGGGACCCTATTTCATTGGTCCATTCAGTTTCCCACTCTTGTAATTTTCCCATCTCTGGGAAAATAAGCCTCTCTTCAAAACACAAGACCCCCCCCCCCCCCTCGTCCCCACTGGCCATGATCTTGTTTCTTCTTTCACTGAGAAGAGAAACAATCAGAAGAAAATCCCACATTCTCCTACCAACATGTGCCCTCAGTGTGCGCTGCCTTCCTCTTGTACCAGAAAGCACTGTCCCAGCTCCCATCTGGGGCACACCCTCCCCTCACACACAGGACACTAACCCCTCCCGCCCACCCAAGGATTTTGCTGTTGGGACTCTTTCCTCTCTCATCTGCGTCTTCATTATCCACTCTATTAATCAGTCCCATGATCTACAAACAAGATATAATCTCCTCTTAAAATAAACACTCATGACCCTACAGGAGCATCTTCCAGCCACCCCGTTTCCTGCACCACAGCTCCCTGGGAGAGGAGCCGGCTCCACCCCACCCCCCCCACATCCTCTCTGGACCTTACTGCACCAACCTCCCTGCCATTGAAATCTCATGGTAAGATCACCAATGGCCTCTGCTTTCCCAATTCTATTCTCAGCCCTCACCCCACCCAAGCACAGTTGAAGGTTTCTTCTTAAAATGTTTCTTCTCTTTGTTTCTATGACTTGCATCTTCTCTATGGACTCTCACTTCCTGACTAAGATGGAAATGTAACGTCAATCCAGTGGATGACACCCATGTCCATACCTCTCTGCCATGTTCATACCTCTCTCCCATGTCCATACGTCTCTGCCATGTTCATACCTCCCCCATGTCCATACCTCTCTCCCATGTCCATACCTCTCTCCCATGTTCATGTCTCTCTGCCATGTCCATACCTCTCTGCCATGTCCATACCTCTCTCCCATGTCCATACCTCTCTGCCATGTCCATACCTCTCTCCCATGTCCATACGTCTCTGCCATGTTCATACCTCTCCCATGTCCATACCTCTCTGCCATGTCCATACCTCTCTCCCATGTCCATACCTCTCTCCCATGTCCATACCTCTCTCCCATGTCCATACCTCTCTGCCATGTCCATACCTCTCTCCCATGTCCATATCTCTCTGCCATGTTCATACCTCTCTGCCATGTCCACACCTCTCTCCCATGTCCATATCTCTCTGCCATGTTCATACCTTTCTCCCATGTCCATACGTCTCTACCATGTTCATACCTCTCTCCCATGTTCATGTCTCTCTCCCATGTCCATACCTCTCTGCCATGTCCATACCTCTCTCCCATGTTCATGTCTCTCTCTCATGTTCATGTCTCTCTCTCATGTTCATATCTCTCTCCCATGTCCATACCTCTCTCCTATGTCCATACCTCTCTGCCATGTCCATACCTCTCTGCCATGTCCATACCTCTCTGCCATGTCCATACCTCTCTCTCATGTTCATGTCTCTCTCTGATGTTCATGTCTCTCTCTCATGTTCATGTCTCTCTCCCATGTCCATACCTCTCTCCTATGTCCATACCTCTCTCCCATGTCCATACCTCTCTCCTATGTCCCATACCTCTCTGCCATGTCCATACCTCTCTCTCATGTTCATGTCTCTCTCCCATGTCCATACCTCTCTCCTATGTCCATACCTCTCTCCCATGTCCATACCTCTCTCCTATGTCCATACCTCTCTGCCATGTCCATACCTCTCTCCCATGTTCATACCTCTCTTTCATGTCCATATCTGACCTCTGCCCTGAAACCAGTTGCTCACATCTGACTATATTTGGCAGTTGAATAAGCTTCTCAAACCTGCCTGTCCAAACTGAGCTTTTGACTTGAACCCCCTAAGCTGCTTCTCCCCTCACCCCCGGCAACTCCATTTGTGGATTGCTCTGACCAAAAGCCATGGAGTCCTTCCTGACTCCACTCTGCTCAGACCCCACATCTAACCCCTCAGAAAATTCTCCTGACTTGGCCTTTACAGCCTGTCTTGATCCTGGTCCTTCTCGCTACCCAAACTGTGGCCACCCAGCATTTGCGGGGAGTTGGCAGGAGCCCCTCAAGCTCTCTGCATTCTCTCACTGCACTCACCTGCTCAAACCTTCCAAGGCCTTCCCTCCCACTCAGAACAGTCAAAGCCCTGACTCACCAGGAGGTTTGAGCCCCTGGACCCTCCTCCTTGCTCATCTCCCAATACCTCTGCTCACTCACTCTGCTCACCCACACAGGACCCTTTGGGTTTTTTTTTTTTTGGATTTTCTGTGTTTAATGTTGGCACTCTCTGACCCAGCTAACCCTCAGAGATACTTCCCTGTCCCTGTACCTAAAATAGCACCATCCTCTATTCTTCCCTATCCCTTTGCCTTATTTTAATTTTTCTTCACAACATTTATTGCTTCCACTTCATTTTATCACTTATTTATATGTTTTATCCTGCTCTGTTTTTGTTTTTGTTTTTCCAACTGGAAGGTAAGCTCCTGGGCCTAGAACAGTGGCAGACACAGAGTAGTGCCACAGCCTGCACAGTGGGTTCACGATGACTTGTAGGAGGGCTGACACACAATGAAGACTCTATACAAGAAAAATGAATTTTGAAGGCCTGGGGGGCCAGGTGGAACCTCTTTTGAAAGAGGAACCACGAGTCTGGGTCCTGCCTGCTTTTTATTCAGTTTGATTACACATTTGTCCTTTAGCAATGCACACAGGCAGAGCAGATAGAATCAAAGGTAAAATTTAATAGACAATGTAAAGATGATCAGTCAGGAAATCGCCTGGAGCCATTGCAATCACAGCAGGAGCAATCTCATGCTTATTTTAGCCCTGCAGAGATCAAGGTCCATTGGCCTTCCAGTGTCTCTTTTGCTCTTTCATCCTAATGCTGTTATGCATTGGCCTCCAGCAGAATAGGACATCACATTTTATTTTATTTTATTTATTTATTTATTTTTTAAATATATTTTATTGATTTTTTACAGAGAGGAAGGGAGAGAGATAAAGAGTTAGAAACATCGATGAGAGATGAGAGAGAAACATCGATCAGTTGCCTCCTGCACATCCCCCACTGGGGAAGTGCCTGCAACCCAGGTACATGCCCTTGACCGGAATCGAACCCGGGACCCTTCAGTCCGCAGGCCAACGCTCTATCTGCTGAGCCAAACCGGCTTTTGCCACATTTTATTTTATGAATAGATGAACAGTTGGGTGGATGGATGAATCGATGGGTAGATGGATAGATGGACAGATGGATGGATGGATGGATGGATGGATGGATGGATGGATGGATAAATGGATAGATGGATGGATGGGTAGGTGGATGGATGAATCAGAGGATGAATGGATGAATAGATTATGGATGGATGAATGGATGGACAAGTGGATGGATGGATGGATGGATGGATGAATGGATGGATGGATCAATGTTTAAATGGATGGCTATTTAAAGGATGGATGGATGATGGATGGATGGATGGATGGATGGATGGATGGATAAATGCATAGATGGATGGATGAGTGGGTGGATGGATGAATCAGGATGAATGGATGAATAGGTTATGGATGGATGAATGGATGGATGGATGGATCAATGTTTAAATGGATGGGTATTTAAAGGATGGATGGATGATGGATGAATGATGGATGGATGGATGGATGGATGGATGGATGGATGGATGGGTGAATGAATGGATGGATGGATAGCTAAATTCCACAAGACAGCACTTACAGGGCAAGACATAAAACACATCAACAGCTCTTGCATCTGAATAAAGCTTTATGTTTACCTAAAGCTCACTCATATTTGTATTTCCAGACACCTCTGAGGAGTAAGGGTGGATATTTCCACTCCACATTTTTAGAAGCTGGGAATAGAGGAATGAGTAACACATGCTCTAAGGCAGCGGTTCTCAACTTGTGGGTCGCAACCCCTTTGGATGTCGAACGACCCTTTCACAGGGGTTGCCTAAGACCATCGGAAAACACATATATAATTACATATTGTTTTTGTGATTAATCAATATGCTTTAATTATGTTCAATTTGTAACAATGAAATTGGGGGTCACCACAACATGAGGAACTGTAGTAAAGGGTCGCGGCATTAGGAAGGTTGAGAACCACTGCTCTAAGGGCTGTGTGAGCCTTCTGGCTTCCTTAGGTGGCATCTGCAGCCCATCTCTTCTCCTCAGATATCTGGGGAGAAATCTCTTCAGCCCACAGATGCTAAAAAAGATTCCTCTGGTCGTGGCTGAATGGAGAGAACAGCAAGATTGATGGATGGGGAGAAACATTTGCAGAAGCTGTGGATCAAAGAAGTCCCATCAGGTGGAGTTTAAAAGAACACTGGACACAGGTGAGTGGCTTTAACCTCTGAGACCCACTCCGCCTTCGCTTGCTGCAGCTCCATGACAGATCATCATAATATGCCTCTATCCCCACCTCTGCAAACATCCTTCCCTGTAGGACACATTCTCTTTTAGAGCTCAGAACTTCTTAAATATTGTTTTTAAAGTTTTAGTGTGCCTGGGAGACACACACTAGCTTCTACCCTACATTGGAGTTGGCTGTATCCACACCTTGTCCATCCAACCTCCCAACGTGGGGGTTTCTTAAGGTTAAGGACAGATCAGACACACCATGCGGCTGGCCCATTAGCTGTGTGGCCAGATGCTGTGCCTGCTCCCTGAAGATGGGAGTGGCCTCTGAGCAGGAAGGGCCCAGGCCCAGGACCAGCCAGAGTCAGGCCCTGGACATGAAGGGGCCTTGAAAGAAGACTAGCATTAGGTGACTTAATCCCCTCAACAACCTTTGAGGAGGGTACTCATATCATCCTCACTCCACAGATGGAGAGACTGAGGCTCTGAGCACACTGCCAGTTTGTGGTGGAGCCTGGATTCAGTCCAGGCCTGTCTGACTCCAGAGCCAGTGTTTTCACCACTAGAGTTGGGGGGCATATAGGTCATGCAAACCATTCAGGAACAATGCAGGCTCACTAACTGATTGAAAGGTAGTGGCCATTCCAGGATATGGCCTTCAGGGGGGGTGGGTGTTGTAACAACACCAGTGTCTCAGCCAACCCAATCCCAGGGCCTAAGGTGTTAAGAGCAGGAAGAGGAACTAGCCTGGAGTTCACAGTTTTGAACCTGAAAAGTTGCCTCATCATTTCAAAGGCACCCAAACCTCTGCTTCCCTGTGTTATTCTTCCCCATCCCCGATCGCACCCCCACCTCCACCTCCACCCCCAAGCTGTCCCACGTGGACACACCGAGGTGTCTGGAGCCACTCCAAGCTGTCATGTCCCAGCTTAAGGCGCTGTCTCCAGCAGGCTCCTGTGGAAAGGTTGTACCAGTAAAGGGGTGTTCCAGAGCCCTCTCCACCACCGCTGGGAGTGAACCCTAGGTTGGGCAGACAGGGGCCTTTGGGCAGAGCCTGTGAGGGAGCCTGAGGCTGGTAGGGAAGGAACATCTGATGAGAAAACCAGAGAACAGACAAAAAAGATCAGAGCAGGGTGGGGGTTTGGCCACGGACTAGGGTCAGCTGGGGCCATAGTGCCGCCTGCTTCTGCCCAAAAGGCATCTACAATAGAGAGTCCTCATGTCCACCCCTGCCAGGGGCAGTAACAGAGGCAACCCCCTGGACAGTGTCAAAGATCAGTCAGACTTTTGCTGGGGCAGTGGGGGGAGTACAGTATTTCGTGGGCCTGACACACCAAAGATCAGCCACCTCAGATGCCCCTGAGAACCCCCATCTAGTCCCACCCAGATACCTGAGCTCAGGTCCCATCGTGTAGCAGATGGACGCAGGCGGGAAGCCATTGAAGTTGCAGCTCAGGACTAAACTGTAGGCGCCCATGGAGGGGAAGATGAGCCAGTCACCCACGTCCAGCTCAGGCAACTGCACCTCCTCATTGTAGAACGTGTCGAAGGCACTGCACGTGGGGCCATAAAGGATGCAGGGGAAGAGGGGTGGCTTTGAGCAGAGCTCCTGCAGGGACACAGGGGAGGGGAATCAGAGAAGGAAGAGCTCCTGCCCCCAACCCACCCTCCCAGCCCATGCCCTCGGCCAGCAGAGCACACCCGGCACCAGCAAGGACACTGGCAGTCGCTCACACCAGCCAGTCCCTATGTGCCAGGCACTGCTCTTGACCTGGCCCTCATGGAGCTTATATTCGCTCAAGTGACACATTCTAACCCTGCTAATTCTCAAGGCCACACACATGGGGCCTCCGTTCCCATTTATAAAAGCAAAAGATTCTAGTCAATAATCACTCAAAATAGTGGGTGAAACTCATCTGCTATTAGAGTCCCATTGGAGGAGGTTTAACAAAGGATTGATGCCACGTCCCAACCCAGGAGAGGCCTGATTCCAATCGCCTGGGCCTTCGCCTCGGCATCGGGGTCCTTGGAAGCTTCCCAGATGAGTCTACTGGGAAGCAAGTTGGAGAACCTCCATTTCCTAGGACTCCTGCATCTCCAGCATTCAAGGGTTCTGGTCACACACACACACACACACACACACACACACACACACACACACAGTGCATACAGAGAGAGCACATGGAAACCCAGAGGCAAACCGATGTGCACACACACCCACACAGAACCATGTACCCATCCACCCACCTACCTGCACAGGTGTCAGTCAGCATGCTCACACACAAAATCCACACACGTAGACGTGCGCATGCAAATACAAACAGGCTTGCCTGTGCACATCCTTGTACACGCACGGGGTATGACAATCTACAAAGCCATGTGTAATCTAAGACCCTGCCCCCTTGCACCTCACAGAGGGATCGCTGCCTCACAGGGAAAGGGGCTGAACTCACTGCTATCAGGGACTGGGAGGTGCCAGAGCCACACAAGGGTCCCCTTACCTTCACCACAATTGGCATCCTGGGGACACGATCCCTGAGGAAGGCACGAAAGCTGCCATAGTGGCCCTCATTGAGATAGTACAACAGTTTCCGGTGGCCTCCTGGGAGAGGGGAGAGGACAGGACTGTGCTCAGCCAGGTCTCACCACTGATGGTCAACAGTGAGGCCCGCACCCTTAGGACCGGCCCCGGCCCTCTGCCCAGCACTGGATAACCCTTGTGTCCTGCTTCAGGAGCCTTCCCGGGTCTCCTGCAATATTTGGGCCTGTTCTCTGGGCTCCCGTGGCTCCTCTGCCCCACCTGCACCTCATCAGAGTGCTGCGGCTGCTACTGCCGCTAACAATGATAGTACAAGTAACCCGGGCATTGTTCCAACCTGTCTGCACATATTAAATCATTTCATCCTCCTAACAACACTCTGAGTAGGGACAATGAACACTACTCTATATTTGAAACTGAGTCTTGCCAGAAGTTACACAGGAGAATGTGGCAGGGCTGGGTTTAGTGCCCCTGTCAGTGCCCGGCTCTCACAGTCAGAGAGCAGCGTAATTGTCATCTCCTTCCTTCTAAATGCTCTGCCTCTGTTGATGCCTCACTGAGCATGTGGCGGCCTCTCCCCAGCTCCATCACACTCCGAAGTACATTGAGCTGATGCTCACCTGCAGCCCCAGACCCTAGGACATGAACTACTACCAACCACTTTCTGAACAACCACTGCTAGTCCAACCTTCGACATTGATGTCCTTAATCTTTCCAACTGGTTTCTGTGGGCACTGGGGCCATTCCATTCCCTTTGAGCATTTAGATGCCCAGATCTTTCTGATTGTTGGTTTCCTCTCCCTGGGTCGTCCCCCTCCCCCCACCACCACCACCATCCTCTCCTGGTGTGAGTCACTCCTGTCCTGCGCTCGCTTTCACATGCCAGCACTGATCCTGCCTCCTGCGCCCACAGCCCCACTTGTCCCTAAGCCAGTTGGTCATGGGTTAGTCATGGCAGCCCTGAGGCTGGGCGCTCCGCTCGGCTGGCATGTCTGCAAACACAAGGGCACCAGCCTCTCAGTCAGACAGACCTGGCGCCGCTGTGCACGAGCTCGCTGTGCAGCCTTGGACAGTCACTTCCTCTCTCTGAGCCTCCAGACCTCTGCCTGCAAAATGGGAATGGCCCCAAACTGCCCCACAGGAGGGCTGAGCAGAAATGAGGTAAAACAGTAATTGCTCACATAATAGATCCTTAATCACTGTCAGCTCATGCTATTGTGAAGGTAAAAATGGTAAGCCATAATACGCATAACTCGGGCTTTTGTTAAATGATGGCTGAAATCATATGCCCCAAATCACAATATTCTCTAATGAGATGCTTCATGAGGAAATGAAATTAGTGGACCCAGGTGCCATTAGGGTTACAAAGGTGGGGGTAGGCATTTGTCCAAAGGATAAGGAAACAGATTAAAATGACTTAGAGCCCGGCTGTCGTGGCTCAGTGGCTGAGCATGAACCTATGACCAGGAGGTTATGGTTCTATTCCCAGTCATTGAGCCCTGCCTGAGTTGAGGGCTGGATCCCCAGTGTAGGATGTGCAGGGGTCAGCCAGTCAGGGATTCTCCCTCATCATTGATATTTCTGTCTCTCTCCCTCTCTGAAATCAATAAAAATATATTTTCAAAATGAAATAAAAATTATTTAGAAATACTTATGACGGTCATAACATTTCAAAGTAAAGGGCACTAACCCAGAGGGTGAGTCTTATCAAGCTCAACATGCACTTCAGTTTCCACTTAGCTCCCTTTGTGAGGACAGCAACCCCACCCAACTCTGTTCACCAAAAAACCAATAATCAAAAAATCTCCTTAGATGGTTGACCTCAATATCATTTACTGTTACCCTACAAATGTCACCCTTAACCTCCAGGCCATGGTACCGACAATATTTCCTTCATATGTTTGTTGTAGAAATACTATTTACTCACTAGAACTTGGGTTCTAAAACTCCGCGCCTGTTAGAAAATGCTTGCTTGGAAACAGTAAGGTGCATAGCAGCAGGGGAGGCTGTGGCCCATGAGCTGTGCCCTCAGACTTCCCCTCCAGACACAGGAAGAATAAGGACCCTCAATGCCTCCCTCCAGGCTCTCTGAGAACAACACAGTAACGTTACTAACGGGCTCTATCCTGTAGCTAAATCAAAGCATGTTTGCCCCGAGGAAGCCAGGGTGGAACTCAGACCCTCTGCCCCTCCTGCCCCCAAGGTCTGGGGACCCCTGGACAGAGAGCTCCCTGCCCAGTCCGGGCCCACCCACCTGGCTGCAGCACAGCCTTCTTGGCGATGATGTTGACAGCGGCCACGCAGACAGGTGCCGCGTAGTAGCGGCCTGGCTCAGCAATGACTTCAATGCCGGTCCCCTCGGGGAAGTCCTGGGCCAGGGCAGCATTGATCACTCTCGCCATCTGTGGGGACAGACCCGAGCCCTGTGAGGCCAGTCCCTGTGCAGGGTCCTTCCCCGCGTCTTCTCTCTTCATTCCCCTGACAGCTCTGTGGGAAGGTGTCAGCACCCCCTTGTGCAGGAGAGGAGACAGGTCAAGACTGTGGCCCAGAGGGGAGAAGTGCCCGAGGGCACAAGCCTAGTGACCAGGCTGTAGCACCATGAGATCTGACTTGCAAACATTGAAATCAATACGTGATCAGCAAAGGAACACTGTCCCCTGGGTGTGGGGGATACAGTAAGGAAGCCTCTATCTGACTGTAGCCTTACCAGGGATAGCAACCAACACGTCTATAGAAGGTTCAGAACCGCATGCTCCCATGCAGACACACACACACACACACACCCACACACACTTGTATATGTGCACATGCCATGCATGTAGAGTCAGAGACCTCTCAACCAACACAAAGCCCAGCTACATGCAGGCACAGGACTGAGTTTCAAGAGCTCCCTGTACACACATGAATTCTGTGCAATAAACCCAGGCTGGGGCCCCCAGACGCCCTCTCCTCCTCCCCTCTTACCTCCTCAAACTCCGGCTCAGAGCCCTCCACTCCGGGGAAGCCCCCTCCAATGTCCAGGAGGCTCATCTCATGCCCGACCCCACGGCCCATCTCGAACACCCGCCGGCAGTCGGCGATGGCCCGTGCGAAGCTGTGGGGATTCTGGCAGCCCGAGCCCACGTGGAAGCTGAGCACAGGTGCAGTGACAGGTGCAGAAACACACAACAAAACACAAGGGTCAGGAGGAGATACACATTCAGAAACAGCCGCACAGGCACAATGTGAACCAGCACGGACACAGACACAGGGACAAGAATGACTACATGGAGGTTGTGGTCACTCACAGGAGCCACAGCCTTGGCTGTACACATGGGGACCCCAGAGACACACACCACATGACAGTCTGTGACCTGGGGCTCTCGTGGTTGTGGGGCAGTCACCTCTCTTAGCTACCCCTCCCTAAGCCTGGCGGCAGGGGTTCCTCTTCTTCTCCTCCTTGGAATGCAAGTGATCTGAACCCCAAATCTCAAACCATCCACCAGGGGGCACAGAGGACCCAATCAGGGGCAGGTGGGGTGAAGTGAGGGAGGATGCTCTTCAGGTTCAACATTCAAGGGGGCACCAAAGCACTGAGCAATCAACGTAAGTATCCTTCATGCACTATCGTGTATAATAAAGAGGTAATATGAAAATAGACCATCATGCCCTTGCACACGATGGCGGCCCCCATGTGGTCACAAGATGGCCATGCCAATGTCATCACAAGATGACCACCACAAGATGGCCAGCAGGGGAGGGCAGTTGTGGGTGATCAGGCCAGCAGGGGAGGGCAGTTGGGGGAGACCAAGCCGACAGGGAGGCAGTTGGGGGTGACCGGGCTGGCAGAAGAGCAGTTAGGCATCGATCAGGCTGGCAGGGGAGTGGTTAGGGGGTGATCAGGCCGGCAGGTGAGCAGTTGGGAGCCAGCAGTTACGGATTGTGAGAGGGATGTCTGACTGCCAGTTTAGGCCTGATCCCACAGGCAGTCAGACATGCCCCGAGGGGTCCCAGATTGAAGAGGGTGCAGGTTGGGCTGAGGGACACGCCCCCAACAACAGTGCATGATCTATATATATTAGAGAGAGAGCAAGAGCGAGTGAGAGAGAGAGACCTCAATTGGTTGCATCCTGTACACACCCCATCAAGGGATCAAACCTGCTGATGCAAAAATATCCATGATGAATAAAATACAAAAACGTTAGGAAGGTCAAGGGGGGAAAAAAGGAGACAAATGTACTACTCTTTGTATAATTTTAAGCAATAAAAAAAATACAAAAACTTTAAAGACAAGATTAGTTAACAGTAATTGGACCCATAAGGAAAAGAAAAATCAGATGCCAATCCTGTCTTGATTTAAAATTTCATATTCTCTCATCATGGGTTTTTTCTGCGTTAATTTTTTTAAATACTGTATGAAACATTATTTATATCGAGTACAAAGTTTTCCGCATCCTGTTAAATTATGCATGCAAGGCCAGTGCCTTGCCTGCCCCACCCTCCCAGCAGCTGACACCCACCTCCTCTTCTGAGGACCACAGGGAGCCACCGGAGGCCCAGAGGGGCCACGCGGAACCGAGGGCACCAGCGAGTCAGAGGCTGTGGACAGGTGTGGGGGCCAGGAGCCCTGCCTCACAGGAGGGAGAGTCCATGCTCTTACCTGGCGCCCACCACAGCCAGGCCGAGGTCTCGAGCGGACTTGAGTAAGTGTCCACACAGCTCCAGGCTGGCCCCAAACTTGGAGCTCATGAGGATGAGGCTCTGGCTGTCGTCGGTCCACAGTCGCAGGACCAGCCTGGGAGGGGGTGTGAGGTGACAGGCGTTCTTAGACACACGAACCCCAAGCCTGAATGCTTTGCTGCCCCCACCCAAACTCCTCGGTCCTCAGGACTGCCCAGCCATGGAGGTCCAGGGAGGGGACACACTAATTTTTTAATTTTTTAAAATATATTTGTATTGATTTCAGAAAGGAGGGGAGAGGGAGAGAGAGATAGAAACATCAATGATGAGAGAGAAGCATTGATTAGCTGCCTACTGTACTCCCCTTACTAGAGATCAAGCCTGCAACTGGGGCATGTGCCCTTGACATGAATCTAACCCAGGACCCTTCAGTGCACAGACCCGACACTCTATCCACTGAGGCAAACCAGTTAGGGCTACACTACTTCTTACAGACTTCTGCCCAGGCAAGAAAAAGCAGGAAAAAGATCAAATTATAAGCATCCCTTCAGCAGACCTCCTGTCACAGGATCAGAGATGTTAAATAATTTTCCCAAGAACACACAGATGCGACAAGTAAGTCAGAAATGTGACCCATGGTCTTCCTGAATCCTATATGAGTGCTTATCCCACGAGGTTGCTAACTCCAGACCCCTAATGCCAGGCTCTGCCAGCACCTCTGCAGACAAAGGAAATCTTTGACATGAGTGGGCAACAGGGAGGGCACTGGGACACCTGGCACTAATTCTTGCTCTTTGCTGGTTGGGCATCCCCTAGTCACCACGGAACAGCCTTCATCTCCTTGCTGAGGCCCAAGTCAGTTTGCCAGAACTTCCTCCGTGGCCCCAACTGCCTGCAGCCCTGCTGGTCTCACCTGGCCCCAGGGTGGTGCTGGGCCACCTTGGTCAGCTCCTCCTCACTGTCGAAGGTCAGGAGCTGCACCCCATGGCGGGCAGCATACTGCAGGTGGGAGACCGGCTTGCAGGGGTGGGCATAGATGATGCGTGAGGGGGCCACGCCCAGGCCCAGCACCTGCTGCAGCTCCCCCTGCCATGGGCAAAGCCAGAGTAAGGGGCTGCCTCCCTGCTGCCATGCTTTTTGGGCACAGGAACCACAGGCATGAGGAGCTGTCCCCTACTGAGCCCCTACTGTGCATCTGGCAAAGCACTGGGCGAATATTGTGCTATTTAAGCTTCTAGACTGCTCTGAGGAACATATAGTTGAACCCATTTTAAAGACCAAGAAACTGAGGCTCCAGTGAAATGGCTGGGCCAGGACAGAATGGGGTCTGTGGATTAAAGCACATGTTCCCTCCACTCCTTAGCTCAGGCTGACTGCCCTGGTCACCTAGACCTGTGGAGGGTGCACTACTCCCAGTTCATTCATTTATTCTTTCACAAACAACTGGGCACCACACACATCAGCTACTGTTCATGGGCTGCTGTCCCCATTTTGAGACACCTCGCAACCGGTCTTTTTCCTCCAGGAACCGTCAGGCCTATGAATGAGGAAACTGGCTGCGGGCCCAAGCTCACCTGGCTGGCACAGTCGAAGCCGGTGCCCAGGGCGGCCAGGACACGCAGCACCAAGGGGCTGCTGTTACACTTCATGGCATAGAAGGGCGAGACCCTTGGCAGGGCCTGGCAGAAGGCCTGGTGGCGGCTGGCCAACACTCCCAGGTCGGCTACCATGAAGGGGTCGTCTCGGTGGTCCTGCCAAGGCAGAGAGAGGCAAGAAAGGCTGGGCATTGTGTCATTTCAGTGAATCCTCACACGGTCTCCATGCGGCAAGTACTGCTGTTACCCAGTTAGGAAACAGGAAACTGGGGCCCTAAAATCTCTTTTTTTCATTTTTTTCCTTTTTCTTGAATACATTGGGGTGACACTGGTTAAAAAATTATGGGGTGACCTACATGGCAATGGTAGGATTTGATCCTTGATCTTCTAACTTTTACAACAGGAAGACAAGAGGGCAACAAGCTTTATAGACCAAATGGGCGCCAGGACTCTCCAACCCTCAACTGGATCGCTTGGCACAGGGTGGAATCCCAGGAGCTGGTGGGGGACTAGAAGGGGACAGGAGAACTACCCCATGCCACCAGGGAACACAGCTATTCAGTAAGACCTAGTAAACTAACTTATAAAACACAAACAAAGTCTTATTTGTCCCCACCTAAGTGGGGACAGAGACCCACCCTCTCCCCTCCCCACTCCATGACCTTCCCGTCCCCTCCGTCCTCTCCCCTCACCGAATCAGAGAGCTCCCGGATCTTCCTCAAGACCACCTCCATGGCAGATTCCTCAGGCCCCAGGGGGACGATATCCTTCATCGAGGAGCTTCCAGGGTGCCCTTCATTCTTTGAGTCCATGAGGGTGGTGCTCATCCCTGACTCCAACAGAGCGCTCTGCCAGGGACACTCCCAGCATCCTGGAAAGGCCTTGCACTGAGGACACTCCTCCCTCCTCCTCCCAGCGCCCTGCTGGCCAGTGGAGCCAGAGTTCCTAGGCCAGTAAGTCCTCGGCCCTCCCATGCAGCCACGTAGAGATCCATGGAGCCCTCGTGAACTTTCTCATCTGTAGGATGGACCACTGGCCAGGCCCAGCCTGCTTCAGAGACCTAGTATGAGACCAAACAAAATGCACAAAATTGCCAGGCCAGTGTTGCTCAGTGGTTGAGTGTTGACCCCTGAACCAGGAGATCAGGGTTTGATTCCACAGCAGGGCACATGCCTAATTTTCGGGTTTGATCCCCATTGGAGGCATGCAAGAGGCAGCGGATTGATAATTTTCTCTCATCATTGATGTTTCTATCTCTCTCCCTTCCTCTCTCTAAAATCAATATAAACATATTCTTGAAATGATACACAAAACATGCACCTACCTTAGATGGTAGGCATCCTCTTCCAGGCTCCTGCACACACATGTTCCCATTCACAGATGAGAAATGTGACCCACAGAAAAGGTAAGTACAGAGTCCAAGACCTTTACAGTTTCCCTGTCAGGGATTTCCTTGTAGGAAAGGGTTATTTTGTCTGTTTCCTTGTAGGAAAAGATTTTGTTGTGTAGAGGATCCAGGTGGATTATCCTGCTAAAGTGTCTGTTTGAAAGGATTATTTTCCTGTCTGTACCTGTCTTTGTAGCCTTTCTAAATGGGTTGTTGGTTCCCCAATATTGTGCCTGATTTTTTTAAGTAGTAATTTGCGATTAGGGTTTTTCTTTAACATTATTTTATGATTTAAATAGGCCTCTGTATGACTTTTTATAGTCATTGTTATGTGTATGTTGTTGTGAGTTAGTTCTTTGATAAACTTTACCTCTGAGGTTTCTATTTAAGTTAGGAACTGCCTGATGTGTTAAATTATCTGGTATTAAGCCTTCCTTAGTAGCGAAGGAAAATTGCCTAGTGCTTATAGACAGTTGTCTAATCCTCGTGTAATTGTATCTGACCTCTAATTTTCTGTGCAGAATTTGCTGGCCTGATGAGATTTTGTAATTTTATTTTATTTTCATCGGGTGCCCCAATATTAGAGTTCTAATAATTCCTGATACATTTCTATTTTCCCCTGGTGCCAGAAGCCAATTCCAGCATGTCATAATTTCAAGAGTTTCATCAAAAGGTTGATGGAACTTGGGGACTCAACAAGGGCTGAGTCACATAGGTTGTCACCTGTTTGGAATGGCTGATGGCATTTCCCCAACCCTGAAAAGGGATGATTGCTTGGCTGCCAGACAGCTCAGGGCATCTTAATCTACATGTTATTTCCTCCTACTGGTCAAACACCTGAACAGCCGTAGGCTAAGTCCCCCATTCTCACAATGCCTCTGTAGACCAAAGCCTACCACTTTGACGTGTATATCTCTGCCTTGCTTCAGGACAATTTATGTTCATAAAAAGCATGGGGTCCTGAAATGACGAGGAGATCTTAGTTCCTTTTAGCTAAGCTCCTCTGACCACCCATATGCCTTTCAAAATTATGCTTCATCTCTAAACTCTTTAAGTTACACACGGCCCCTTCTCCAGATTGCTGAACCCTTCTAAATGCCGGAACAAGACCCCGGTATTAATGGCGCCCGAACTGGGGCTTCCTGACCCCTGGCAGCACCAATATAAATGGCGCCCGAGACAAGGACGGAAATCTGGAAAAGAAGGATTCGCCTGAGCATAAACAACACCAGTGTAGGTGGTGAGGTTGAACTGTGTGTAAGCGCTTGTACTAGCTTTGGAAATCGAGAAACCAGAGTGGGCAAGGAAAATCTTTTGTTTTAAGTCAGGTTATAATGGGGAAAATTTGGTTAAAAGGCAAAATTATAAAGAAATTGGAATTTCAAAAGGCACGTTTTTAAATCAGGCCCTAGAAAAGAGAGTGCCGTGGTCATCTTTAATGTGGTTTCTTGTTCAAATCATAGAATACCTAATTTGTTTTGAGGATCAAAAATCTATAATTTCTAAAAAGTCACCAGATCCTCTGCTCCTGGAGAGGATACTGGGCAGCTAGAGAGATTAAAGCTGTCAGCTTTCTCCCTGGGAGACTACTTAACGCTTTGTTTAAAAATTACTGGAGAACACACTTGGAAAAGGAAAATTTGGCTAAGGTCACCTTGGGGGCTAGTTATTACTTTGGAAAACGAAATAGGAAAAAATTTAAAATCTTTTCTTATCTATTAAGCATGCCTTTAATTGGGATAAGAGATAGGTGGAAAGGTCAGTTGCTGAAACTTCCCCCAAAGGAAGCAGGAGGTGGGGGAACGGAGTTCCGTAAGGATCCTGTAATACAGACATCCCCCTCCCAGAGTATGCTAATTTAAAGTCTCTTTCTCACCATGAAAAGTTTTACAAAACATAGAAATGTGTCTGGAATTTCTGTGCATGTGTAAAGAGGAAAGCTAGCTTAAAACAAATGCTGCAACTGGCCTATTTTTGGACATTTAGATAGAGTTTTGAGCTAGAACTTAAATCTCTCTACAAGTGCTACAGACTAAAACCCCAGTGTTAGGTCAGGTGGCTCAGGAGGCGGCATAGGAAATAAAGAGTCCAGGGAGTCAGAAAAGAAAGAAAAGGAAAGTTTTATTGCGTCCCAGGGAGACCCATGTACCCCAAAGACAGGGCACGTGGATTCATGCCCACAGGGAGGGGGGCGGTTGTTTTATACTGCAGTTGGGTGAGGGGCGGGGACATGAGCTTAGGTATTCAGCTAAGGAAGTTTCCACTGCAGGGAGTCAGCAGGGGTGTTCAGGAAGGAGTCAGTGTCTGTGTGGGGGTCGTGTTGATTCAGAGAGAAGCCAGTATCTGTGTCTGGCCCGCTGATCTGTTAGAAATGCCAGGGGGAGTCCATTATCTCATCACACGTCTGCGTGTATCCGATCCTGGGCTCTCTCTGACCTAACACCCAGGACTGGTTTTTTCTAAGAAAGATGGCAGATTTGGCCAAAGGAAACAAGATGCAGGCTGGTTCTAGCAATAAGATTGGCATTTCCATAATAAAAAGTAGTTTTTAAAATGATAGTGGAACCCATTCAAAAGTTAACTTTAAGGTCGCCAAGAAAATCAGTAAATTGTCTCTGTTACAATAATTTGGAAAGAAAATGCCTTAAAATAATTATAATTGACTCTCTATAGAATCTAAAAATTGTTGAAACATAAATAAATCAATTTCAAATGGAGGAAGGCACTAGCTGCCCTTCCCCCAGCAGAAAAAAATATGGTCTTTTAAAATTAGGCAGGTAGGCCAAACTTTCCCCACCCACAGCGACCTCTTATAAAAAAATTTGGCTGTTTTCAAAAGTCAAGTGGCTAGGCCAAAAAACTGATTCCTCCAGCTTAGAACAAAGCTTTTTCCCCTGCAGGAAACCAGCAGGAAGAAGATGCAATTTGCATTTGTATGGCTTTTTCCCCTGAAGGTAAATAGCAGGAAGAACATGCAATTTGCATTTGTATAGCTACCAGCCTGCTACTGAACTCTAGCACCTTAATCTAAAGAAATACTAAATGTTTCACTTACCAGCAAAAATTGAAAAGCTCTAAAAGTTCAAGATTCAAATTAAATTGAAAGAAATTATATAATTGCGATAACTAAATGCCTAAAGTGTAGAAATTTATTTTTGTGAAAATAATTTTTGTGTTTTCTCTAAAATAATTAGAAATTCAAAATATGTTGCTTAATGGTCTAATTGAAAAAAAAAGGATTAATTCTGTAATCCCAACCGAAATTTTTGTTTCTTTGTTTTTTGTTTTTTTAATTAAATCTTTATTGTCAGATTATTACAGTTGTTCCTCCCCCCCCCCCATAGCTCCCCTGCACATGGTTCCCACCTCACCCTCTGCCCTTACCCTCCCCACTGTCCTCATCCATAGGTGTACCATTTTTTTTCAGTCTCTTCTGCACCCTCCTCGCCCCTTTCCGCCTGAGAATAGTCAGTCCATTCCCTTTCTATGCCCCTGATTCTATTATAATCACCAATTTATTCTGTTCATCAGATTATGTATTCACTTGATTTTTAGATTCACTTGTTGATAGATGTGTTTGTTGTTCATAATTTTTATCTTTACCTTTTTCTTCTTCTTCCTCTTCTTAAAGGATACCTTTCAGCATTTCATATAATACTGGTTTGGTGGTGATGAACTCCTTTAGCTTCTTCTTATCTGTGAAGCTCTTTATCTGACCTTCAATTCTGAATGATAGCTTTGCTGGATAAAGTAATCTTGGTTGTAGGTTCTTACTATTCATCACTTCGAATATTTCTTGTCACTCCGTTCTGGCTTGCATAGTTTCTAATGAGAAATCAGCTGAAAGTCGTATGGGTACCCCCTTGTAGGTAACTAACTGTTTTTCTCTTGCTGCTTTTAAGATTCTCTTTGTCTTTTGCTCTTGGCATTTTAATTATGATGTGTCTTGGTGTGGTCCTCTTTGGATTCCTTTTGTTTGGGGTTCTCTGAGCTTCCTGGACTTCTATTTCTTTCACCAGGTAGGGGAAGTTTTCTGTCATTATTTCTTCAAATAGGTTTAAAATATCTTGCTCTCTCTCTTCTTCTGGCACCCCCATAATTCGGATGTTGGTATACTTGAAGTTGTCCCAGAGGCTCTTTACACTATCTTCATATTTTTGGATTCTTTTTTCTTTTTGCATTTCCATTTGGTTGTTCTTACTTCTTCGTACTTCAAATCTTTGACTTGATTCTTACGATCCTCTAGTCTGCTGTTGGATCTCTGTATAATATTCTTTATTTCAGTCAGTGTATGCTTAATTTCTAGTTGGTCCTTTTTCATATCCTTGAGGGTCTTACAAGTCTTACTGAGGGTCTTACTAAATTTATTGGTGGTCTCACTAGACTTATTGAGGGTCTTAATAAATTTATCGGCGGTTTCTAGAAAATTCTTGAAAAACCTTAAAACCATGGTTTTGAACTCTATATCCAGTAGTTTGCTTTCCTCCATTTCTGTCATTTGTAACCTGTTTCTTTGTCTCCACATTTTGGCTGCTTCCCTG